CCGGGCAGGAGTGGTGGTGGTTAACAATGGAAGATATCCTCTCGGGGCTTGGAGATGCTGCCTCTTGGCCTCTGTGATACCCACCCAGCCCAAGATACCCTACCTAGGTTGAGGCTCTCTCTCTCCAGTTTTTGTACTTTTTGTTTACCTGTGTGAGTAGAGTCTAAGGGAATACTGGGTCTCCCTCTGGTGACTCCTGCTGGTGGCCACAGAGGCCACCTGCCACCAGGTGGTGCTGAGGGAGCTAAAGTCAGCATTGAGCCTCCACATACCTGGGTGGGGTCTGGGGGAGGATGGAGGCTCCAGCTACACTGCAGAGTCTCAGGGAACTAGGGCACATCTGCTCCAATGTCTTCTGCTGACAGAGGCAGGAACTGGAGCCCTGAGTTCAAGGTCACCTCAAGGAGCAATGAGAGTGAGTGTGCCCTGTGGCTATGGGCTACTGAAGGAGACAGAAGATACAAGGGGCTCAGAATGAGGCAGGCTTGGAGCAGGGAAATTTCCATGACATGGAGACGGTCAGGCTCGATTTACCCAGAGTAAATAGATTGGTTGTCCTTTGGCCATGCAAAGAAGCAACAAAGGCTTCAGTTCACAGGGACCCTGGTCACATGACCAGCCTCCCTTCTCAAGGTCTGCTTTGCCCAGGGGAGAAGCTCTCCCATGTTTCAGACAGACAGGTCACAGGGACATGAAGTGACAGAGCTGGGCAGGGGCAGCAGAAACCTCTCTGTGCTGGCCCTGGAGGGTGGCCTTGGCCTGGGGAGTCTGGTCTCCTAGGCTGAGCTGCACTCCTTCAGCTGTGTGCACATGAGGCCCTCTCAGGGGGAGTCACCCTGCCATCCCTAAGAGCAGCTTAAACAGGACAAGGACAGCTAGTGACTTAGAGAGACCTTGGGGTCAAGGACAGAGCCTGTGGGACTCATAGACTCGGGGAAGGCAAAGAAAAGCGTGGGCTTGGGGGTGGGGCAGGGATGAGGGGATGGGCGGAGGGAAGGGAAAGGCTTTCAGAGACAGAATGAAAGAAATGAGTTATTCCAGCATGGGGAGCTTAGAAAAGTCCACTGAATCTTTTAACAACCCTGTCAATTATTCATTTTCTACTATGCGGGGCCCTCTGGTAGGCCTCAGAGCTGCTGTGAGCAGGGCAGAGGGAGGGAGGGAAGTGAAAAAGAGAGAGGGAGGGAGAGAGTGGGGGTAGTACCAGAAAGAAATGGGAATATAGAAAGACAATGGCGCGCGTGTGTGCATGTACGTGTGTGTGCGCGTGCATGCGTGCGTGCGTGCGTGTGTGTGTGTGTGTGTGCGCGCGCGCACACGCACGCGTGCAGGGGTGAGAAAGAGAGAGCAAGTGAGCAATGGTGGGGTGGAGGGCAATGGAGGGGAACAACCCCTGCTGGAAGCTCTGGGTGGAAAAGACACTAAATACCTTGTCTGAAGTCTGGTCCTCCTCCTCCAGGAAGCCTTCCTGTGTCCTCCCTCCTCCTTCCTCACCTCCTTTTGGAAGGTCCTTTGTCTGGGTCATGTCCCCCTGCTTGTCCATCCTTTACATGTTCATGCTTGTCTGCTCTGTGTCGCTGATGGCCTGAGGCTGCTCCTATCTGAGGGGGAGCTCCAGTTCTCCTCCCTTGCCCCCATGGCCTCACTGGGTGCAGGACTGGGCACTCACGAGGCTGGGTCTTCCTAGGCTTCTGACTAGTGGGAGATGTCTCTTTGTGAGTGGAACTCAGCCCCTCTGAAGACTAAACAGAACCTTCAGTTTACCTGCTGTGGCGGTGGCATCAGGAGACACTAGACAGTTAGAGAGGTGACTTGTCCTAAGGACAAGAGGCTGGCAAAGTGGGTCTCGGGAGATCTGTCCCTTTGAGAATGACGCAGGAGCTCAACCCTTCCAAGGAAGTGTGTGTTCTGGGCTGCTCACAACGGACACATTGCTTCTCTTAGTTCTGCCATGGGTCCTACCCTGGATCTCAGCAGTCCCACCCAGCACTGCACTTTATACTGCCCTGAAAAAAATTGTCACTGGAATGACTGCATTAGAGTTAGGTGTCTGGGGATGGGAGGAAACGTCTGGGCTTGGTAGGAGTCCCAGCTGGGGTCTGTGTGCTATCAGGGGGCAGGGAGCATTGCACAGAAGACCTCAGATTCCCTACCTGTTTTTCTGTCCCTAAGGAGCATCTTTCCAGAGAATGTTCAATTTTCAGTACTCCCTAGTAAATTCAGGAGGGAGCCAGAGATAAAATGGATTTGAGGCTCTGGGGACCGCATGGCGACACTAGACAGAGACTGAGGCGCCATGGAAGTCAGGTGATGCAGAAGGTTCAGCCAAGGCCACGGAAGAGAGCAGAGGGGGCCACTCACTCATCCTGGGGTCACTGCACAACGACGGTGCCACAAGGCAGCCTGCCTCACCCACTGGCCCTGCTGATGACACTCTCTGATACAAGCCCTAAATCCATACCTCAGGATTGTGTCACTGCTGCTCAGGTGCCCCGGGGCTCCTCAGGTATCTGCCGCTGTAAGTCTGTGCCTTGAACCTCAGGGGCTGTGTCTGTGCTCTGTCCCACAATCATGCCTCCCTGCCCTAGAGTGCTGGTGACATTATGTTACACCAGGGTCTATTACTATGCAGCTACACTCCTGGCCTCCATGGCTGTGTTCTGCTGCTTGTCACTGTGCCTGCTGGTTACATGAGTTCATCCATTGCTATGTAATTTTCTTTGGTTGCCATGGAAGTGACCCATGGCTGCACAGCTGCTTGTGATTGGCGTGGAACTGTAGACTGTTGCTACCCAACTGCATTCTGTTACTTGCGACTGGGTTCTCTTGGCCATGGGAAGGTATATGGCTGATCCTGCCCTCATTTTTCTGAGCTCTGGCCTATAGGTTTATAGGATAGCAGCCAGGATAAAGTGATGGCAAGGGAGCTGGGGAGAGAGCAGGGGCAGGGAGAGTGTCCTTGTGCTGTGTTGGAGGGCTGCATCAGGCATGGGAAGATAAAGGCTGAAGCCAAGAGTCAGGAAGGAGGGTTCAAGGTTGGCATAGGTCTGGAGTAGACTGGAATGGGCAGAAATGAGGGCCAGGGCCACTGCCTTTTACAGGGCACGGAATGTGGATTAGCTGACCACAGGCCTCTGCAGCCATCTAGAATTCTCTGGATGCTACATAGCATGGGTTGAAAAGGCCAGGGAGCCTTGGGAAGGTATCATATTGCTTCTGGACCAGGTCATAGCTACCGTTGTTAAATGAAAACAGGTTACAAATGGTGGTTATTCTTGGTCAGAAAGAATTTTTCCTAATGGTTGAGCTTAACTCTCAGGCTGAGAGAAACAAAGAAACAAAGAAAGAAAGAAAAAGAAAGAAAGAAGGAAAGAAAGAAAAAGAAAGAAGGGAAGAAAGAAAGAAAGGAAGGAAGGAAGGAGCCAAGACTACCTGGTGTCTATCCATGTTATACCATCCTTCCTGTCATTTAAAGCTGTGTCCTCAAATGTCCACCCATCAGATCCAGCCTACCCTGCAAGGCTCTTTTTCTCACAAGCCTTTTTCTCCTTCTGTTCCATTCATTATCATCCTCAACCAATTTCATAGGTTCCATAAGCCTCCAGTCCAGGCATTCCACCCCTTTGCACAGACAAACGCCCAGCGTTAAGTTATGTGTGCTTACCACCGCATATGACCTAGGCTCTCAGACTTGTTGCCCTCAGCTCAGACCTTACCAGAGAGCCCCTGCCATTCCCAGCTGTGGGGTGGGGCTTGGCACTGCTCACTCCTTACTCATACTATGTCCAAGACGTTCAAGTAGGGTCTGCATCTCTGCTCTCAGAGGTAGTGTGACTCAGGGTGAACTCTGCCCTCTGGGGTTGGGTAGGGCAGAGGCTTGGTTGGCTCACTCCAAGGCAGCGAGGTGAGGGCAGGAGCTCACTGAAGCTCTCTGGTGATAACCAAGGATCCCCTTCGCCTTCTCCTTCCTTCCCATCTGCTTTTTCTTGTAGTGGCCACTTTACTTTTTCTCACTACCCTGGCTTGTTCAAACCCAACTTCTTTCTCTCCTATACTGATTAGGGTCAGGTTGTACAGGTTAACAAGAACTGGTTTACCATGCATTCCCGAATCTCTCTGGCCAAGTCTGTACTTTTATTTTCAATGCACTTGATGGCTGGGCTGGAGGTGGCTCCTGAGTCCTGCTTCTCCACAGGGCAAAGGTGGAGTGTATGTGCTAGAAGTGTTTCTGAGAGCTGTCACTTGGACAGGAAGGCTCTGCTCTTGGGGAGGTGCTCCACGAGGGAACCTCTTGGGTACACCCAGCAAGCAGCAGCCGTTCCCATTGTCTTATGGTGCATGTTTCAGACAGTTGCCTTGATGAGGAGACTGCCGCTAGAGAAGGGCAAATCTTCACAGGGGGAGACCTGAGGACTGGATTGGTGGCTTTGCCTGGGGCTTTTCCTTAGGCTCTTTGGAGCAGCATTTGTTGGTGGGATCCACTGTTGATGGCTGTAGGAAAGCCACATATGGGGGTCTCTCATAGTCATTGACTAGGGTGGTGATGTCTTCGCTTGGGACTTCAGAGGGATTATCTTTTGGGTGTATGCTCTTTTGCTATCTGTACCAGTATGCTGAGTGACCCTCCTGAGGCCAGGTCTCAAGATCAAAGACACAGACTGTGCCAGGAAATAGTTTAGTGTCCCTATTATAAGTTACAGCTAGTCTCTTGGGGGCTTCTCATGGCCTGAGGGGCATACTGTGGGCTGGACATGACTGAGCAGGCATTGCAGGAATTTCTCATAAATCCCCTGAGAGCCACCTAAAAGGTGAAGAAACTGAACTGGAGTCACACCTTCCTCCCACTAGCCCATCTTTGGGGGTAACTCACATGCAGAGTGTGCCAAAGGTGTCCACTCGCCTCCCCACCGGGGGAGTGATCTCAGGGGTGACTCTTGAGCCTCCCTCCCCATTGCCCCATCATAGCACAAATCCTCCACATCCTCGGGAGTGGCACTCACTGTGTCATGCAGTGTCTGAGGCTCCTCTGCTTCCAGAGAGGAGTCTGAGGAATTCATGGACCAGGACTCACGGATGGCACCCAGGTTCTCGTCTAGGATCTTGGGGTTCAGGGTGGGCAAAGCCTTGCTGCTTTTTGGTGTCAAGAAGTTTTCTGGCCTCTAAAAAGATGGAGAGAGACTTTGAACCTACCCTTCCATGGTACCTGCTATGCTCCAAGCATCCTGGCATGACTCACCTGTCCTCTGTTCACTCTCTGCCCCTTGCTTATGGGTCCTAGCCTCAGTGTCCTGCAGTTCCTCCAACAAGCTAAGCGATTCACTGCCTCAGGACCTTTGCTTCTTTCTCTGCCCAGGGATCTTTATAAACTGTCCCCTTACCATCATTTGGGTCTCACCTATGTATAATCTTTTCAGAGAGTCCTGCCTTTTGACACAGAGACCACACCCCCACTCCAAAATAACCCCATCATTCATAGCACACCATTTTACAGTGTTCATAGTAATTACTCCATGAAAACACCTTTCAAACAGTGGGTTTGTTTATTGACACTGTCTGCCTTCTCCCAGTATTCACACCATGACTGAAGTTTCATGTAAGCAAGGGCTCTATTATCTCCAGTGTCTTGCTCACTGTAGGTACCTAATGTTTATGGGTGCTCGATGAGTATACCACCAGTGGTTTCCATACATATGGTGGCAACTCTTTCGCTCCCTTTTCCATTTCATCGCTAGCATCATTCGGTTTGATCGCCTCTTAGGATGCGTCTCTGTGCATTTTTGGTGAACCCTTCTACATGACCTCTCTGGTTTCCCTCCTCCTCCCCTGGGAAGCCCACTGCCTCTATCCTCTCTTGACCAAGGTTTTCTAGATTCTTCCAGTCCAGTGTTGGCTACCCATACTTTCACATTGCTCTGTGGTTCTAGGCTAGTTTGCTGCTTTTGTTTTTCTAACAAAACTGCATGTTCCTTAGACTTAGGGACATGGGTCAGCAGTGTTTTTGTGGAAGTGGTCACTTTAAAACTTGTTTGGGGGGTGGTGAAAAGGCTCCACAGGTAAACATGCTTGCTGTCAAGCCTAAAAGTGTGAGTCTGATCCCTGAGACCCAGCAGCAGCAGCAGAGTCATCTCCTGCATGTTGTCCCTTGATCTCTACATATGCACCATGGCACACGTTGACACCTACACACACATACACAAAATAAAGCCGCAATAATTGAAACCCATTGTTAATTCTACCACCAGCCTTTTGTTTGAAGCATCACGCAGTCTCCCAGCTTGCAGAGGCCTCAGATGTGCTGCATCTCACCCTGCATTAGCTGTTAGAATCCTCACTCAGCCTCAATGCAGACATATTTATTCACTGGGTGGTGTTTGCTAGAAGCAAACAGAGCCATGGGCGCAATGCCAAACAGGAGACATGCTCAGGGCTCCAGGTGCCCCAGTGCCTGCCTCTAAACAGCTGGAATGAGGAGGGTGTGGGTGCATCTCACCAAGTGGACACTACATGAAAATGTCAGAGTGTGGGTGCATCTCACTAAGTGGACACTACATGAAAACAGCTGGAATGAGGAGGGTGTGGGTGCATCTCACTCAGTGGGCACTACATGAAAACAGCTGGAATGAGGAGGGTGTGGGTGCATCTCACCAAGTGGACACTACATGAAAACGACACACCTGGACTACATAAATTGAGATGAGGATGCTGCCCTCGAACACTGAGGTGTTCGCAATGGTTTACTAATGTGCCATACGATTTGGGATTCAGAAATGCATTATAACACAGGGCTTTTGCAGGCTTACATCAGCAGAGTTAGGGGTCACCCATTCACACATGGAATCACCAGGGACATTCTAGGCCTCAATTCTCTCGCCTTTGAATGGGTATAAAATAGATAATTACTAAGAGAAACATTTATAAATGCTCTTGGCATGGAAGAGGGATGTATTTGGTGACCTGAGGCTGACTTTAGCAGGCCATTTAAATCTGTGAACACCAGCCCAGCTTCCTACATCATCTTCTGTTTAAAGAGGGACAGGATTCACTTAGATGTTTCCCAAATGACACTGAGTCTTCTAAATATGCCCTGGAAGTGCCCAGTGCAGCATCCGACTCATACAGTTTGAGGTTTTCTAAGTGAGTGGATAAGAGAAAGCACCACATCTGTCTTCTACCCAGAAATTTTGAACATTTGGGGATGGGAAGTTGGTTCAGAGGTTAAGAGCACTGGCTGCTCTTCTGGAAGATCTGGGTTCTATTCCCAATTCCCAGCGCCCATGATCTGGTCCCCTCTTCAAGCTTGCATGGATACTAGGCATGCATGTGGTACACAGGAACATATGCAGGCAAAATACTCATACACATAAAATAAATCTTTTTTAAATTGCTGAACATCAGACTGACTACAGAGAGATGGCCATGAAATGCTTACTGTGTTTGAAATGATGGGTGGGTGCTAGAAAAATAAGGAATAACCAGCATGGGTAAAAACCACCTCCCTAGTGACCAGGTGGGTCCAAGCACGGCTGAGATGCTGATTCAGGACCTGTAATGACATTTCTCCTCATTTCCAGGCAGAAAGCCAATCTCAATGCCCTGGATTTCATAGACTGCCATCTAATCCAGTTAGAGGAGGAAGTAGGAGTAATGAAATCAAAAAGAGGTCTCCAGAGGTGGCCAGTCATTACAGAAAGCAGGGACAATTGCTGAGGGAGTCACCTCCCCCACTGCCTGTCTCCCTGCTGTCCATCCTGTATGGTCCTGGGACCAGCTAGGCCAACTCAGTGATGTGGACCTGATGTTTTTGGGTCAGAGTTGCACACCCGCCAGATATTTTTAGGCAGATTCTCATACTATGTATACATTCCTTTAGTTTCATGACAGATAAATTAAAAATGAGACTCTCAGTCCAGAACAGTGAAATCATCCCATGTGTCTCTGCTAGGCAGGGGAGGATCCTGAGGAGGAGGGGGCAGGCTGCTGAAGGGCAGGAGAGAGCAAAGCCTTGTGGATGAACTGTCTTTTCAGGCCTTGCCAGCTCTGCTAACCCCATTCTTTTCTGCCTGCTCACCACACAAGCTTGCTTATTTGCTTTTCTATTTGGCAGGCCTGCTGGGGCAGCACTGGGCTGACAAGTGGCCCCTCAGTCTGTAGCTCCGTGGTGGTAGTGGATCCTGCTTCATTAGAACTGTAATTGGGGGCTGACTTTGAAAGCTCAAAGAGATGCATAGCCATGCACCAGCTCAGACGCAGCACCCGACCCAGCTCCTGTGCTGTGCCAGCTGCTGAACACCACGTGTGAAACACGGTGGGAGAAGATGACCAGCGGGCACTCTTACCAGCAGATGGGGGTCTGTTGAGACAGGCTGGGCCAATGACATTCCAAGCTGGCAGCATTTTAGGTCACCTGTCTCCCCTCCCTACCCTCAACACCTCTGTTGCTGTCCTCCCTACTCCATCCCTAGATCCCTGGTCATGCAAAATGCAACAGCTCCTGCTTGCTCTGGCAGTCACAAAGCAACCCTGCTGCAGCTGCTGTCCGCGGTGCTGAAAGAGACCGCCTTCTGGCCAGCCCGCCTCTCGCCCCGCCTTGAGCTTTCTTGGTGGGGAACACAGGCTCTTAATTCAATTAGCTGGCCCTGAACCCTCCCCAGGGAGCCTGGAGCGGAAACTGACAAATTCTGTTTAACAAAGACATTTGTCCCCCGCCCCGCCAGGCTTAGGGCTCTGCTCTCCTGTATCCCGCTCATTAGGTATCTAACAAAGTGCGTCCCAAGAAATCTGCTTCCAATCGCTAGTAATTCAGGAGGTCTGATACAATTTTCTCCCTGATAAGGGTGGCTCGCCCGCTGGCAGGCCCATAATGAGCCCTGTGCAGTTGCTCCCTGATCAGCCGCTGCGTTGTCACTTCCTGTGGGCTGCTGTTGTAGGTTCTTATCTCTTCAGCTGTAGGCAAGGCTCAGCCAGCGAGCCCTTCAAGAGGGCTGGCCTCCCATGCATATGGTCAGCCTCATTTATGGCATCCTGAGGGCTGTTGCAGCTGTGGCAGGTTTGAGCATCCTAGTCGCTCTCCCAGTCAAAAGGGGCCCACGTGTTAGTACTCAATGGAACCATGATCTATCCCTCAGAAAAATGGTGCCAAATCGTCCCCACACAACACACTAAGCAAGGGGTTAGGATGGGGGCAATAAAGGTTTTATTTTATTTTTTAAGTTCTGTTGGGGTATTAGGATTAAATAGAGCCCCGCCCATGACTTAGTGGATGGGTTGTGGACTCATTCAGTCTTATGGGCCAGAAATCATTTTTACCTACATTTCATCAGCCCCTGTTCATATCTGGACAGAACCACACCCTATTACTGCTCAAGGACTTTCTATAGTTGTGCATCACTTTTTGACAAAGTCCAAACCTTGTGTTCTGTCACCTACCCAATCCTTCTGCAATCTGGGCCGCACTTACAAGGCCAGGGTCAATGCTTACTACAGCATCCATATGTCCCACAAGTCTCCATGTCATTGCACATGCCAGCCTCTGATATACGTCTGCTTTCCCAATTTCCAAGCCACTGTCTGAAGTATAACGCAAACCACGCCTCTGGGTGACACTTCTCCTGGCCTTGTAGTCTTAGTGTAGCATCACATGCGGTGGTAATCTGTTGGAGTGCTTTATTGGTAGGTACCAGTCAGGGCCCAAATAAGTAGAATCCTGATGAAATTATAAATGTGTGATCTTGGCTGGGCCAGGGATCCATCTGGCTTGGTTGGAGGACTAGCCTAGACTGATTTGGTCTTGAGTTGGGAAGAATCCCTAGTGTAAGGATTCAGGCATTGTGCTGGCCTGCCCCTGTAACCTGGCAGATTACACTCAGGCAGTACCCTGGGTCAGCCCTATTGCAAAGGACCCTTTTAAAAGAAAGACTACCCCCCACACTTACGCTCTTTTTCCCTCTCTCTTTCCTGCTGTTCACATGGGACAGACAGGACTTTTCCTGTCTCCCTTTTCTCTTCTGTTCTCTCTGTCTCTGTGTCTCTTCACCTCTTTTCTCTTTCCTTCCCTCCTTTCTGTTTCTAATAAAACTTCCCACTAAACTCTGTCTGCCTGGCATGTTTGTCCCTCCACCTTGGTCACCCTGGACTGCCATGGAATCTGCCAAGGGTCCCC